ACTATTGGTACTACCCTTGCTTGCTTTTGCCACAGTCTTTCTATTATTACTCCTGGTCCTCACCACTCTTTGCACCGCCTTCCTGTCTGAAGCAGGGATGCCTCCAAACCAGACTGTGATGCCGTATGACAGGATGCTCTCGATCGTCCCCCTGCAGAAAGTGGTGAGGACAGGGGAAGGAAGATGTGCTTCTCTCATGCGACGCAGAAAAGGCAGACGCTGCTATGCCCACTTCACCAGGGTCTCACTGTTGAGCGACCAAGCCAGCCTACTCGTTAGCTGCACACCCAGGAATTTGATGCTGGTAACCGTCGTAAAACGGGGCAAAACTCACTTAACAACCGTTTCTCTTAACAACCAAAAATGTGGGGCTCAATTGTGGTCGTACGCCGAGGACTACTCGTCCCTAAACAAACAGATCACCAAATACGCTTTTGCTCCTTTCTTTCTGTTTTTTTAAGGCAGCCAAAAAATCTTCAGTTGTATCCCTGGATAAACTCCCATCTGAAGGCCCAGCCAGTTCTCTCTTCCTCCCTAGCAGGAGCTGAGAATATATATATTTATATCTGCCAGATAGATTTTTTTAAAAAAAGGCAAACTCTGAAATTGCAGAATTCATTCATCTTGCCAAATGCTCCTGCCTCCCCCCCCCCCCAACTCCTTGACCCAGAGGTTCGACTGGAAATGCTTCTTGGGAAACAGGGTTTTATCTGCGGTGTGATGTGACTTTTCCAGCTGTGCCTGGATTCTTTTCGTCCTGTGGGATCCTGGACGGTCTCCGGGCTTGGTTCTTTGCTTGCAGGACGTTTCATAACCCATTCGGGAACGTCATCAGGGCTGGAAAGGAGGGGGGGAGGAGGAGGAGGAGGAGGAGAGCACTGTGGGGTCCTTGGTGGTCTCTGAGCTTGGTGGTTTTCTTGCAGATGTTTCCTTGCCAAACTAGGTAACCTCATCAGTGCTAGAAGGGAGTGGGGTTTGCGGAGAGGAGGAGGAGGAGGAGGAGGAGGAGGAGGAGGAGGAGCACTGTGGGGTCCTGGGTGGTCTCTGAGCTTGGTTTTCTTGCAGAGATTTCACAACTCAACTAGGTCACATCATCCGTGTTGGAAAGGAGGAGGAGGAGGAAGAAGAAGAGGAAGAGGAGGAGAAGGAGGAGGAGGAAGAAGAAGAAGAAGAAGAAGAAGAAGAAGAAGAAGAAGAAGAAGAAGAAGAAGAAGAAGAAGAAGAAGAAGAAGAAGAAGAAGAAGAAGAAGAAGAAGAAGAAGAAGAAGAAGAAGAAGAAGATAACTGTGGGGTCTCTGAGCTCGGTTATTTTCTTGCAGACATTTCACAACTCAACTAGGTAACATTATCAGTGCTGGAAAGAAGGAGGAGGAGGAGGAGGAGGAGGAGGAGGAGGACTGTGGGGTCCTTGGTGCTCTCTGAGCTTGCTTGTTTTCTTGCAGATTTCATGACCCAACTTGGTAACATGATCAGTGCTAGAAAGGACTGGGGTTAGGAGGAGGAGGAGGACTGTGGGGTCCTGGGTGCTCTCTGAGCTTGCTTGCAGATGTTTCATGACCCAACTAGGTAACATCATCAGTACTAGAAGGAAGGGGGGTTTGCAGAATGGAGGAGGAGGAGAAGGAGAAGGATTGTGGGGTCCTTGGGACTCTCTGAGCTTGCTTGTTTTCTTGCAGACGTTTCTTGACCCAACTAGGTAACGTCATCAGTGCTAGAAGGGAATGGAAGGTTTGATCTCTTTGTATACAAGTGACTTGCCCTGTCGGTGTTAGAGTGTTTTTTTCTTGCTGGTTCGTTGATTAGGCACTTGTTTACTTTTTGATTGTTTGTCTGAGTTGATAGTTCCGTGATTGTGGTATTGTTTATTGTTTGATTGCAAGCTACTTGTATATAAACAGAGCGCGAACCCCCCC